TTAATAGCGACATATAAAAATGTAAATGCGTTTGTTACCTCTCGTCATGCTGCTCTCGGCCAAACAAGCTTTGAAGCTATCTGATACCGGCGACACGTGACCGTTAATCCCCACGACCTGCATTGTGGTAAAAAATTCACTTTACCCCCATTACTTTTCACTTTTTTCCCTCCTACATCGATTATTCAACAACAATTCGTACGCTCGCGTATGATTATAGTATATTATACTCACAGTGAAGACGAGGGCAGCGAGTAGCATGGGCAGTAGAGAAGGAGCCGACATCGCGCCACCGGACCTACCGACGAGCGTTTCACGATTGAGAGGCGCGAGTGGCCCGCCACGCGCATTTATGTGCCCAAGAGCACGCCACGAGAAATCTCGAAATTAACCCGTGTACCACCCCAAGTTTCGACCCACTTGTGTGCGACGAACCACCGGCTCGTAACTCGTCACTGTGTGCACACATCACCCATATCATGTACTCATTTTCGCAGCCAAGTTGGCGGCGCACTCGTGCCGAGTATGGCCTTGGTGAAGAAACACGCGCTTATCCCCCCCCCCCCCCAACAGTCATTTTGTGGTGAAAACGCGCAAGTTGGGTATATACAAGCCCAGTTCGGTCTTCACCGGTGCGGTTTCGAATCGGTGTCACGGAGGCTGCGCTCTTTATCTCAATTTTGCGAGTGGATGAACGAAAATTGCACATGGTTTTTTTGCACAACGTATACATCTATTTTTTTGACGTATGTTTTTTCAATCGCAAAGAAAGGACATCGATTACACTTTTTCCCCAATGGTCGTATTATCCGAATCGAGGCTAAAAACTGTGGGGGTGGGAAAAAAAAAAAAGAAATAGGGGACCGACCCTGTATACGCGCTCGACGTCGACGGCAGCTCGCACAAAAGTCTCTTTCAAAGAGTCCCTCCCCCTATATATATATAATACACGGGTGTATCAGAGCTAATGTACTTATATTCTCCCGCAGAGAGAGAGAGAGAGAGAGAGAGCGCATTGATAGAAGTAAACGCTGTTTTGATCAACTCGTCGCGTATACCCATACGTACATACAGTTGACTCTCGGGGGTGGGGGGGGTGAGCGATCAAGCGCGAGTCCCTTTCTCTCCTGGTTTTCCGCAAAACGAATCAGGGCTCTATTGATGTCCCGTCGACGGACGCCCGAGAGATAAATGACGTTTGCGGAGATTGAGAGGTTTCACCCCCCCCCACCCTACCCTGCACCCACACATGCATATGTATACGGTCCTTCCTTCTCTTTTCTCCTCTTCCTCTTTTTCGGGGGCTCGTGGGCGCACGTAAGTATATTCCTATATTACATTGCGTAATCTACCCTGTACACTTTCAAGTGCCGGAGAGCTTAGGCTGATCGAGGAGTGCTATCGGGGGATGATACTTATGATTATATTTTTTTGGTAACTAGGCTTGCTTCACATGAAATATTTTGTTACAAGAGCGTTGGAACGAACGAAAGACTTTTTTTACCAGGAAAAAAAAAAAATAATAATAAATAAAGGTTTCGAGTGCACGCATTTACAAGAAAAAAAAAAAAAAAAAAAAAAAAACGAGTGGCCTAGGAAGAGACACGGGACAAAGGGTGGAGATAGAAAAATACGCCGTAAAGAGGGTCAAAAAGACTTACAGCTATGTAACTGCTGGATCCAAAGGGTGTATTATACATGTGCGCAAGAGAAGAAAAAACAATTTAACTAATGGAAGCGGTGTATCGCTTTCCGTGGCCGAGCACAAGACCTGTGTAGTGTATGTACGTATGTATATACATATACATAGGCAGGAGAATAAAAGTCTTTTGCTTTTGTTATCTAATCCGATTTCCCGTCTTTCTTTCTTTTCTCTCTTTATTTATATTCCTACCTCTTCGTTCTCCTCCCCCTACGTACCTGCCTCCAGAGGTCCAACTTTTTATTTTTATCTCATCCCGATTTTCTCCTCCTTGGCGTCGTCATTTGTGACCTTCCGAAACTTTAATCTTATTGTACGACCAGCTATACGACTTTTACCGTCAAAAAAACGAAATCTCAAACTCTCTTGGCTCCATACCCATGTGCGTACAGAAATATAATATCATTATCACTCGTGCGATACCGACAACGAGGAGCATACGGGATAAATTGTACGAGTTTGCAAATTGATTATACGTACAATCGATATCTGTATCAAACGACGACATATTATATGCAGATATCTAAACGCGTATCTATTGTGTATAACCCCCCCCCCCCATTAGAGGACTCGAGGGGGGGTCTCTCGGGGGGGGGACCGAAACGTACTATCTGCCAATTACCGGCTGCAAATGTTATTTGCCGGCGGCGCCTCCCTCGTGCGCGCGAGACCCGCTTTTATAGCATCACCATCAGCACGGACATCGTAATAAACGGATTTGTATGGACCTTTATGCCTGTCAGCCCCTCCGGCCCCCCCACTGTGTACTCCCCACGTCTACCGTCAGATCTCAGAGGTCGCAAATTAAGGTTAACACACGCACCTACATCATATTTAATTGCATCGAAAGAAAAGAAGAGAGACACGTTGATGTGTGTCACAACAGTAGCTATAAATCACAAAATACAATTGGTCCACCTTTGCCAAGTACATGACGAGCCAAAGAAAAAGTGGATACGCGCATAATTAGTCCGCATCGCATGCAAATTAAGGTATACATGTATAAAGAGGCAACGAAGGAAAAGAAAGAACAAAAAGTAAACGAGATGGGTCTATACGGGCACACCCTCCCACACACTGCGCCACTAATCGATGGCTGAGCCGAGTTCACCAAATCGGGGGGAGGGGGATATGCTCCATCATAGAGAGCGATGTCATCATTATTATCGTCGACTGCAATGCACGCGCGCCAGTCCGAGGCAGCAGTTCGCGCTTCCAAGCCACCCCCCACACCCACCATCGGTCCGCATACATATATACGTTCACAAGCGCGTAATCTTTCTCTCGCATGAAGTCCCCCCGAGCCCCCCAAATGGCTCCCAGTGTATATCGCCAAACCAGCGTGCCAGCCCCCCCCCCTACCATGGTAGGTATATAGGTACGCGCTATTTCTCTCAATCTGGTCCACACGGACCGGCGAGCCTCCTTCTCCTACCCCGTTTTCCCCTCTTCTGACTATATAGCTATCTCCCTCCCTCGGTTTAGCTGCCGAATGCCGCACCAGCGGTTCTCTTACAATCGATACCCCGAGACGACACTCCCCCCCCCCCCAGGGAGAGCAAGTGAGATTCACACATATACACACCTACACCGGTTGCCTCCATCATCCATCATCGATCATAAACGCGTGTTATATCGCTCTCTAAAGTATCTGTGTGGGCACGTGTACATGTATATATATAGATGAGAGGGTGCCAGGCAGGGTATGGGGAAGTGGACGTTGACTTGGGTATGGCTTAAGTATAATATTGAACAGGTGGAAACTGAGGACAAGGAGGTAAGGGCTATTTTTTTCCAACTCTAATAAAAATCAAAGTTTCGTTACTTGTTGTAAATTGACTTGTTTCGTATTAATTAGTTTATTAACTCGGGCGTCCGAATCTACTGTTCTGACAAATGAATTTGCAGTCAAACGTTGAAAAATTTTTAATACTTTTTTTCATAAGTGTGAGCCCACTGTTTCGTAAAATAATACAATTTTTTATACTTACCACTGGTTAAAGAAATTTTGAAGGCACTCCCTCGGGTTACTATTTATATGGTGGTGACGAGAAAAAAAAAAAATTATAGTTCGATGAGTTACACTTTTGAAAATACGAAGTGAATACCATTTCATGAGAAGCATATTTGTTGAAACGAGAGTGCACGATTTTCAAATTAAAAGGCAAAATAAGCATAAAAAAACTTGTGGAATAAGCCAAAAGAAAGAAAAAAAAAAAAAGGAGGGGAACCACTCCGCATAATAAGCCGCTTAAAAACATCTCTCCTCCGCGATTCCGCACGATCGAGTTCGCACGTTTTCTCCCCCCCCCCCCGGTCCCTCGTCAGCTATCGTATCGTTTGCGGCGCGCTTTCCATTTATTCCTCGACTCGAGGAGCCTTTCGCGCGCTTTTTTTCTTCTTCTCCTTCACACCCCCTCATATATATACAACATCGAAGGGTCCGCGCGCGGCGTCACGTGCCGAGAGCTTTTTCCCCCACCCCTCGGCCTCACTGTTGATACGTCGACATGTGTTTATATCCTCGTCTTCCCAGAGCATTCGGCATACACACGCACTCGACTGTCACTCTACTCCTTTTCTGCACCCTCTATATGGTACTGCTTCGTGAAACATACGTACATCCATGTGCGTTTACGATTTGATCGCTCGCCCCCCCCCCCTTTTGTGGGGGGGGATTTCATCTGCCCCACTGGAAGATTTTTTTTTTTTTCATTTGGAGGTCAGCGGAAAGAGAGCATGCAACAGTAAATAAATGACCCATGGGTTTTAGTCGCTATCGAAATATTTATTCATTTGTTTTAAAACGATCGAGAGTCTGAGATGTAACATATATATGTACAGATATGTATTACAAGATCGCGTCTCGTCGTCATATTTCTCTCTCGTGCGTATACATGTACATATATGCGTGTGTCTATAAACGAGACGCGATCAGGCGACTTTTTTTGCGCAAACTTCTGCATTGCGAATGGTCCGAGATTTCTCCCTCCACTTCGTCAATTTTTACACCATCCCACTCGTGGAATGTATACACATACATACAAATTTGAATAAACAAACGTGTGCATTAAGTTCACGCTATCTGCTTCATTACGACGATAACGCTTTCGTTGCGTAACTTTGGTAGTCATGGGCATTATATATCTATTATACATGTATACACATACGAGGTATATCTGTAAATACAAGTTAGGTATAAAAATTATAATAATGCTGCTATCGCGGATAATCCATGTTATTTGTTTGTTTGTTTCTTTGTTTCTTCATCTACTCTATTTTTCAGTATACAGTTATGTTATACACTTATTGCTACGATTCTGTATTTTTTTTTTTTTTTTGTTTATTTACAAATGAAAAATTACACACGTGCAATATTCATAAATGTTTATCACACTTGGACTGATTAGCGAAAAATCAGTGCTTACAATCTATAATATGCAAGATGATGATAATAATAACAATAATAATAATAATAATTATGGTTTTCATATACGTGCATGTACGAACAGGTACATTAAAATGATAATTTACACGACGGATGATGAATCTTACAAGTTTCACGGACGTTTGTGACACATTGAATCCCTACAAATAAATATACACGATGCAATTGCTTACGATATTATACCGGTATCTACATAAGTACGTATGATTCGATGGCGAAAGAGCGGGAGTATGAAAGAAAGGAAGAAAAAAAAGAAATGTTCTCTTTCGGGGCCTCTGCTGGGCGAATGCGTAAAAACGCAAAAAGACCTTACTTGTCGTCCCTGATGACGGTGATGCCGTTGCCGTCGTCCCTGACCGAGGACGCGTCGTCGACGTGAATCACGTAGACCTTCATCTCTGCCTCGTGGTTGAACTTTGAGTCCTCAAGGACGCAGCAGCGGATCGTGTTGGAGGCAGCGCGAAACACCATGAAACACGTGAGGGACATGAGGACCGATATAATCACGGTCATCAGGATGGCCGCGAATATCACCGACGGCTGGATGAAATGGTCCGTCTGGACGAGCAATTGAACGTAGACCGCGGCCATGCAGATCGACAGCACAGGCGCCAACAGCAGACCGATGAATATCACGCACTCGCTCACCTGCACACCAAACAAAACATTCAACCATCTCCCTTTTCGTTGATTAGCCACTACGTTTTTTTTTAGAGATAATACATACGCGCGATCGCCTGATCGTCAGGCCATTTTTTCGCGCCAGAGAGTGCAGTGTATAAACATGCAAGTTAGCGATAAACATTGTTTACACACACAAGCACAATCCCGGAGCGATTGTATGGTTTGCGGACCATGTAAAAAAAAAAAAAAAAAAAAAAAAAAAACGAGGTGGAAATAACGACTCACGGTGTTGACGGCCAAGTACGACATTGGGTTCTTCATCAGGAGGACGTACGAGTCCTTGGCCGAGTCGTAGTAGGGGCTCCCGTGTATGGCGCACATGGCCAGGGCGTCGTACGAAAACTTGACGAGGACCGTCAGCCACGACATAAGCAGGACCGGCCGCTTGTACATCTTCTTCAGGGCGTCCCTGCCGTACTTGCGGACAACGTCCACCATCGTTATCACCGACACCATCGACGACGCGTAAGCTATCGTCCCCGAGTGATAACTGCTCACGGAAACACACGTTTATATATATATATATTACAATTGGCGCGAAAAAAACAAAGTTGTTTACCTTAGTATCGCGGCAAAACACTTTAGGAGCGTCGCGTTGGGTACGCCGGCCGGGTTGGTACCGGCTTCGCCGCCGGCACTGCTGTTGTTGTTGCTAGTGTCGCCCTTTGCGTGATACCACGTGGCGAAGGCCGCCGTCAGTACCATCCTCCCGAGGCCAGCAATGAACGAGCTCGCCCAGAAAAAGCAGACGACGTTGATGACGTGCATAACGTAAACGTAAACCGGCGAGGTGCCGGCTACCGGCGCCGCTTCGTCTATCATCTCGTCGTAGTAAGCTTCGCTGCTGGTGCTGTTGCCGCTGTCGTTCCACGAAGGGACGATTCGGGGCTCAAAGCCGGCGTCCGGGACTTTTATGGCCCGTAGAAACTCGCATACGGCCAGCGCGTACACGACTATGCACAGGTGCACGAGGAACTGACAGAAGGTGAAGAGCAGCGTCGACGGGAAGAAGAACATCGCCCTGGAACCACAATGTGTGTTTGTGATTTGTTTTTCCATTCGTCGTGGTGGGGCTGGACTCACTTGCACGACTCCTTGATGACCTTGCACACCATGTCGGTGCCGATTTTCTTGAAGGCGTACACCACCGCGGCCAATGCGACGCTGACGGCCACGTCGATCAGCAGAAACGAGTAATTGTAGTCGTCGTGGTTGGCGAGGTACAAGCCGATGAAGACGTAGTCGACGACCAAAAGTAGGACCATCAGAAAGACGGTGGTCAGCAGCAGGGCCTTTGTCGCGTATCGGAACAGCGTCACGTAGCCGGCCAGCAGCAGCGTAGTTAGCGTCACGAACGTGATTACTATGTACCTATGGTGTTTCATATTAGTCTAGGTAGTGGTTTTTTTTTCGTCATTTAGAATGACAAGCAATATGTGTCCGTACCTTGCCCTGTAGAGGTTCTCGTAGAGATAATAAGACAGCTCGAGCACCTCTCTGTGTCGAAAATTGTTGGAGTAGTGGATCTGCAGCACATCGCCGGCTACGAAGGCTGCTGGGGCGAGAGTTAAAAGTTGCAATTGAAAATATTATCGAGAATTGACGGAAATTTATGTGATGTGCGTCTGGACGTACCGTAAACGGACACCAAGAGCCAGACAAACATCAAAGTGGCAAAGAGCGCGAGGAACGATACGTCCGTGTCGGTTCGCGCCGTGTCCAGTGGGCCGTTCCATACTGGCTCTTGCTTTGATTTTTCCCCTGCTGAGATTACAATTGTTTCCGTGAATGTGTGATAATTTATGAAAAAAAACAAAAATAATTTTTTTTAAAACAGGAAGCAGTGACATTGTCGAAATCGCTAATTGGAAGCGGAAAAGTATATATATATATTCATGTTAGATTAAGCACTCGCAATGAGTGTTGTTTTTTGTCCTCCTCTTCCAATTTATACCCAACTAGCGGGTGATTCCGATATAAACGACACACGAGCCATCGATGTTTTTTTTTTTTTTTTCTTTTTTTCTTTCTTTCATAAAAAAGAAAAAAGTCTCACCGATCACGGAGTACGTCATTATGTGCGCCGATAGGAATCCACCGATATAAGAGAGCGCGCCCACACGCACACGCGCACAGTTGTAAGTACTGCGGACACTGTGCACCGACCGACGCGCGGGAGCGGAAACAAGACGACAATGTCGAGGAGAAGAAAAAAAAAAAAAAAAAAAAAACCGAGCGAGTCCGGCGGGACGAATTACGCGCACTTAGGCGAGCACGGCATCACGATTGCTCATCACGAGAGACGTCACCGACGCAGGCTCACGGCCCGCTATGTCTCTCTTGCTTTGTTGCCTTGAGGTTTTTTTGTTTGTATTTTTGTCCCACACTATTTTGGGGAACAAAAAAAAATTCCTCTCTTCCACCGGCGTGGAACTCTTTGATACGCGATGGGAGAGAGGTCCGCCGATCGCGAACAGCGAAATTCAACTGAGCTCGGGTCGCCCGACGCCTCCAGTTTTTAATATATGAAAAGAGATATCAGCATCTCTCGCGCGCCACTTGCCTCCTCTGTCCGTCTCTCGATCGTCATCGCACGTGTGTATATATATATAAGTCAGTTTAAATTAAGCGCTTCCATGTGTGTTGCTCGCTCTCGCGCCCATTGACTTTTCGGGGGAGTTTGACGGACTCGCTGTACTTACCTGTTCGATAATACGGTGTCTGTGAATCTTTTTTTTTTTTCCAATGTTTCGCAAAAATTGTCAGTGGTTTTATGTACCCAGAAAGAAGGCAAATGTGTAATAAATATGCATTATTGGAGTAGCGTGGGCAATCAGGTTTCAAGTACAATAAACGCCGTAACGCGAGACGATTCCGCGTGTATTATAGGTTTATGTCCAACACGCGCACTTGCGTTATATATATATCGTTTGTTGCGTTTGATCGTATACGAGAAAACGTTGAAGTTATATCTTACAGGACAACGTTATGACCGTAGTGCGATGCAGGAGAGTTGATGTGAAAAAAANAAAAAAAAAAAAAAAAAAAAAAAAAAAAAAAAAAAAAAAAAAAATATTAATAATATATCGGGGCAGACGCTCACCTCTGGCCAATAAACGAGCAAATAAACTTTCCTCGGGTAAATCGGATCGTAAAAATGTTTTTTCTTCCGTCGCGCGACTATCGGCAGACGCGACTGTATATATATTGTATACATAAATTTGACGGGCTCGATAGGCCATATACTGATTGGGGAAATGAAATTGCGTGATAACTTTTTTTTTTTTTTTTACAACTCCAGTGACAAATTGATAATAATTCCCGAGTTTACATTACACGTATACGCCACGCTGTTATCTAAACTTGCAAATTTGCGAGAATTTCCCGGTATCGTCGATGTATGAAGTAAAAAAAAAAAAAAAAATAGCGTGTTCTGTCAATCGAGTGATAAAAGAGTGGCGGGGGGGGGGGGGGGGGAGGAGGTTTTTCGATTAAAAATCATCATGGACACGAGTCGTGCGGATATAAAATGTTCCGAGCTCCAGCGCTATCTCTCTTACGAGCGCTTTTATCGGCTCTCGCGGAGCAATCGTTTTATCATCATACGTCAGTCGGCAGTCCACGCCAGACTAAACACTTTTCTCCCCCCCGCTCGCGCCTGCTTACAAATTGTCCGACTAAACTCTTTTTTTTTTTTTTTTTTTTTTTTTTTTTACGCGTCACCGATCCATACACTGTTGTGTGACTCTGTTCCTTTTTTTTCAACTTTTTCCCAGAGTGTTTGACTATGTATTGCTATTGTAGCACTCGCGGTTATCTTTATTATATAGAATAAGAGCACGATAACGCCGTCGCTTCTTTTTTTCTCTCGTTCAGCCTCCGAAAGAGCAAAAGCTCGAATGAATGAGATTCAAAATTCGCTCGTCCGTGTGTATTTTTATACATTCCGAAAGAAGAAAAAATATATATAAAAGAAAAAAAAGTATACGTATGCAAGGTAATGTGATCCGAGTCGCGAGCAGTAAAGCCGGAAATTGTGTAATTCGAGTTTGACGATCGCTCGACGTGCCGCTCGGCCGATTTTTTATCATCATTCCGAAAACTACGTGTTCGAGTCCTTTTTTGCAAAACCTCGTTTCGGACGTGAACCAAAAAATGACCCTCAAATCACCTTTTCGGGAAAAAAAGAGCCATTAAGAAACCACGGCTCTAAAATATATATACACGTACGTGTACGTATCTCCCTCCCTTTCCCGAAAAGTTTAATATCGCGTCAGGCCTTGAAAAGGGCGGTCTCGGTGCACGCATCGCTAGACACCCTTTTCGCAAGCTCAGCGCTATCCACCCCCCCCCCTTGGCTCGAGCGCGTCTCGCTTAACGTATCTCGTAGTGCCTTTTTGCATTTTTACGCGGCCCCTCTACTCGCTCGGCCGTGCGATCTCTGCTCCCACGCGACACTTGCCTTTGTGCTCCGACTCTATATATACCGATCACAGCTCCATGTACTTTACCGAGCCTAGGATACGTAAAATGTGCGTCCTTCGGTGCGTGGGCTTTTACTCCGAATGAAAAAAAACAAAAGTTTCCAAAAACGTTGATCGAGCTAATGTGAGTGCGATAGTGTACACGTGACGCAGTGGAGGAGCCTGTGTGTCGAACAATGCACGGCGACGGGCGAGAAACCCACTCGGCCGTGACAAACTTCCTGCCGCTCAACATGTACCATACTATGCGAGTGTACGTCGTACGTCATCGGCGTCATTATCCGACCCCTCCGCGAAGCGCAAAAGTCAATCCAGCCCCCGTAAAGTTTTACCCCTCGCACACACGTACAATGCCGTGTCACCGGCGTTTTAAAACTGAGGGAAAGTGCGGAGCTTTAATCCCTTGACGGGGCTCTATATACCGAGGCTACCACGAACCGACGCTACGGGGTTGATGCTGGCTTTGGTATAGGCGCGCCAACTTCGATTAACGAGATTGCGCCTCTTCTTTTGGCCGATTACACCCGCGGCTAGTCGTCAACGGTTATAGCGATTATCTATCCTGTGGAAAAACGATCCTAATTTTGCACTTTTTTACTGCTTGATTTGACAAATGATGCGTGTTGTTTGTGAAAAAATGAGACCCGTTGAGTCGAAGGAAAAAAAAAAAAACAGCCAATAAAAGTATTTACCTTGGAAAATTTCAAACACGCCTCGGGTTTTATTTGCTTATTTTTTCCATCTTTGTACCCGAGAACCCATCCGTATATTATATGTATATATATGCTCGTTTTGATCCAAGATTATTCTTCAGCAGTTACAGAAAGTAATAAAAGTAATGAGATCCTCGACGACGACGGCTGCGCACACCTTTTCTTTCTTGTTTATTGCAGAGTACTTATATATATACCGTTGAAAAAGGAAACAAAGAGAGAAGAGTATATAATAATCCAAGCGACGAGCGGGCGTCGAACCTCATACACACACACACACACACACATACCTACCCAACCCCCATATACATCGGAGAAAAGGCTATCCTCTTGAAAGGGAGGGAGGAGAGATTAAGCCTGCCGATGCTCGTCAGCCTCCTCCTCCTCTCTTGTCTTCACTTTCAAAAATTGCGCAACGAGAGGCTACTTGGTCACGAGCACTCGGCGAAGCGGGGGGTGACGGAAAATCAATAGCCCCCCCCCCCCACCCCGACTCGCTTGATCCGCCAGCTTCCACGCCATATCTTGATTAAAATCAGTGCCCCTGTACCTCCCTCTCTCCCACCCTCCATTATCTTCCCCCTCCCTCTTGGACGCGTGTGCGTTGTTCACTCTCTCTCTCCCTCTACCTCCATTGTTTGCAACCTTGTTCTTTCTCCCCTTCTTTTTTTTTTCCTCTCTCTATATGTTTCTGCCTATACTATATACGCACAGAGACGCAAAGGATGCTCCAAATGCTCCTTCCGTATCATACGTACGCGATGCAGCTGCAGTTGTACCATGCCGTATGTACGTTATACCGGTGATATCCATGCAGTGCTCAGTTTATGCGAATTATTTAGCAAATGTCGTGAATTTTATTTGTCTTTTGGGGTGTTTAAAGTACGTCGAAGTTGCCAGAGGTACGGCAATGAGCTATGAAACTTTAACCTATTGTGTTTCTAGTGTTATACTTATGTATGTATATATGTACGTTTCATATATCTTTGGGTATGTGGTTTATAAATTATACAAGCATTTTCACGAGGCGCAGTATTGTGTGAAATAATGCCCCCTCCTGTAAATACCATTGGAGTAAAAAAAAAAAAAAAAAAAACGTGTACACGTATATACTCCACATGATTGTAAGCACAAGTTGTTATACGTAGCGTTTTGTATAAAATAATTACAATGACAATTAATGGTGTGTGTATATACACGCGTGCGAGTTGGTAATCCGCGTCATCACCTGTCCGCGCTCGTGCTTTCATCCCTGCACCGTACTTACCTCGCTTCCGTTCGTCCCTGCCTATACACAACGCGCCCGTCATTTTCCTCTCGCCCCCCCGAATCCATTTAGTCTCGTTAACGTCTAAAAGTCACTTCTCGAGCCGTACACCCACGTCCTTTTCCCCCTTACATGTATAAACTCTCTTGGGCTCTTCGGAAGCTCTTTGCCCACTCGGGTGTGTCGTTTACATTTTTTGCTTACAACAAATTGTATTTTTATCATATTTGAAAGCTCCCTTTCCCACTCGATGCGATTTTTACTTCCGGCATCGGGATTGTATACCACATGCGTGCGCATATCACCCGAGAATGTTTGTTCAAAACTACGCGAAGGAAAAAAAAAAATTGATTATTTTTTTTCATCGACACGAAAGACATGATTTTGTCCCTCACGTCTTCGATCCAAACGGTCAACGGTCAATTGAAATGAAGTACAGTGTCATTTTCCATCACGTGAGGAACGCGAGGACACGTGCGTTAAATAAACGACAAAAAAAGGGGGCGGTTATCTTTGATCGTCATGCACGGAGTTAAAAATCACAACGCGCAGCGAGTAAAGCAATAAGCATATATTTCATACAAATCCGAGCCACTGAATCCTCTCGACCCTCGTCTCGTGCCCGAGAGCCAAGTCAGACAGCGCACCCACGACCCTCGCGCTAATATACGCGAGCAGAGAGAGAGGGAGTCTACCTGTCAGCTCTGCAGTGCTCTCCCCGGAACACAAGCGCACCCTCCGTCCGTCCCTGCACCCACACCTACTGCTCCCCGGGAGCTTGTAGGAAAACTGGGTTTCCACCAATCCCTCGGTTGCCGCCGTTTCGTCTATACCCCCCCCCCCCCCAAGTACATAATTGGTGCGAGAGCGATGTAATAGCCATGACTTTTCGAAACAATGGGCGAGTGAAATTTTATACGGACTTGGGCAAGGATGCTTGAAAAAAAAAAAAAAAAACTACTCTTTTTCGATACTTTTTTTCCAACAAAATCGGTGAATTATGTCCATTCGAAAAGAGTCAAAAATTTTCAGCTAATTTTATACTAGGTTTATAATGCATCGCGATTACCTGAGGGGACGAAATTTCTTTTTTTTTTTTTTTTTTCCTCTCTCTTTTCGGTTAACGAATGTATTGACGAATGAAAAATTTGTTCAGCAAAAGAAATGGCACTGTGTTCCGGAAACGAAAGTTTTTTTTTTTTATCCAACAGAGAACCGTGCCCAAGCGTATAATAGTTGGGTGTGCACAATGGCACGCTATTACAACTGTTCGAATCGTCGCGAGTTATCAACGGACACACGGAAGGGCGAGCCGTGGCTTTCGCGCAACAAAATGCAAAGGACGCTGCTTGTGTATGGCCAACCGAGGTTTTAAACAAAAATGAAAATAAACGCGCAGTAGCAAGTAACTTGGCCAGCGAAGGGACAAAGTAACCGAGGGACACTGCGTGAAAGCTCTCTCTCTCTCTCTCTGTGTGCACCCTACATATACTACATTGTATCGTACGAAGTAAGCTCGCGGATAAGAGAGCAGACGGTGGTGGAGTGTGCACGACCCTCTCGCCACGCGCTTTGACGTATGTCTCGAGGGAGCACTATATGTTCCGGCTGCTATATTGCTCTCGTCTCGCGCGCATATACGTATAGGTATCGTGTGCCCGGAAGCTCCGGTCAACATTTGCGCCGAGTAAACAAGCCCTCGGAAGAAGTGATCGACAGACCGACCGACCATCCTCTCTCGCTCGATCTTACGATTATATATATATATATGATCCTGTGACGTGTAAAAGTGTATAGGTGTGTACATACGCGTTGTGTAGCAGTGCGATCTAGTGGCGCATGTGTGGGCGGATGAACGTTCGAGCTCGGGAAAAGCGCGTGTATTGTCCGAGGGTTTTCCTCTCCCTCTGTTTGCACGTTGGGATGGCGCGTGTCTATGCAAACGCGATGGGAATTCGAGAGAACGAGCCGATGCGAATGAAACGCACATCTCATCGTTTTCGGATCGCAAGTATACCGGTATAGGTACTGTGATTATATACCGATTTATAACAATCAACCGGGCGAGTCGATTGATTTTCATGCGCGGGATGGGAATGGACCATCATGGGGGCCGAACGAGAATTACTCGTTACTATCATCGTTTATTGCGTCGTTCTGCCGCGAGCGAGGCTTTTTCCGTTTGCTGGCCTTCTCCGCGGGCGAGCGGCAAACAGAAGCACCATTTTCTCCCTTCTCCTCCTCTGTATACACATATATAGTCGCCTGTTCCCACTCTATGCTTTTTATTGGAATTCCTTTACAAGCGTGTATACATAGGTACCTACATCCATACGATAAAACGCATTTTTGCTTCTTAAAACTTTTTTGTTAATCGTCAAACCGTTCGCAATGGACATTTAGAGAAACATTTTTTTGTCCCCTCAGACTAACAAGTACATTTTACATATCAAAGATATATTAAATACTCGAGTAGACTCTTACGAATACTTTTATCCTTTTTTTTTTTTTTTTGTTTCTTCATAAATTTCTTTTTTTTTCCCCAACAATTGTAATGCATTGTTTTGGCTGCAGGGAAGCGCAATTTTTCTCAATCTACGCGCGTTCAAAGCAGAAATTAAGGGAAAAAATAAAAAAAATATCCGCCCTCGAGTCCCGGCAAACGCACAAACGGGCTTGAAATTTAAAACGAAAGAGCATCCGTAAATATGTACACGTATGGAGACAAAGCGCGTTATCGCGGGGATGAGCGATCGTAAATCGTATCGCGCGAAAGATCGGGCAGGGGCAACGCGTAAAAAGCCTCGGCTGCTTTAATTCGCCCCGGTGATTACGGATCCATTAACGACGAGGCTGGAAAGGGGGTGAGGTGTCGGCAAGTATGTGTGCCATCCAATGAACCACCTTTACAGGAGGGTTGGCCGGTAAAAGCCCATATGAGCATGTACTATGTAGGTATACAACTTAACGTACACAAGCGGGAACAGTCACGGCTTGTTTGATGATCATATGGTCGCAAGAGTTGACGTTGCTCCGTGTATTTGGGGTGTACTAGTGTATATATATATATATATGTGTGTGTGTGTGTGTGTGTGTACCAGTAAGTAGATGCATTCAACGCCAGCCACAATGTGCGCGTGAGTGCGGCTGATAACCATCGCTGGGATTTCCTCGGTCGCTGTCAGTCCATTGGCCGGTTGTTGTTGTTGCCGTATACCACTTTTTGTCGCTTTGTTCTCCTATACATAATCGTAGTGTTGATCGGGTGATTTTTAGCTGCCCGAAGCATAGCTTTTTCGAACCTATTCATACTTGCTTCTTTCTTATCGACGCGTATAGGTGTACAATAAACTATTAACTCGTACGTGTTTATTTCCGAATTCCATTGTGCAATTTTTACAGCTCGAAATACCGTCCTTTTTGCGATATCTACATTATTTACGGAAATACGAGCGTTTAAAGTTTTCCAAAATTTTTGATCCCGATATACTGTCCTTTTTGCGATATCTCCATTATTTACGGAGATAAGAGCGTTTAAAGTTTTGCAAAATTTTTGAGAAAAAAATATTGATTTTAGAATGTAGCCATTGACTTGCGGGTGTTAATAACAGAAGCAATACCTATATTATACGGTATTATAACATTAGGAATCATTTCATGACAGTTGTAGGGGCCAAACATTTAAACTTACAAAAAAAAAGCTTTCTAAAATTTCTGATCCCGAAATACCGTCCTTTTTGCGATATCTCCATTATTAACGGAGATACGAGCGTTTAAAGTTTTGCAAAATTTTTGATCAAGAAATATCGATTTTAGAGTGTAGCCATTGACTTGTGGGTGTTAATAACAGACGTAATACCTATTTTAATTGACATTATACCACCCTGATCTTTTTTTTAATAGTCGGTTAGTTTCAATTAACGAATTTTGACAACAAGCAAATTTTTTTTTTACTTTTTGATCTCTAAATATCGTCAATTATGTATCGTCAATAATAACGAACACATTAAAAAAATTTACTTATCTCAAAATAATTTTTTTTTCGTGATATCTCTTTTGCTCGTTGCTACATATAAAACGTATAAAAGAGCACATCGTTTTCATTGTCTGTTTAACTTGTGGATATTAGTACCGATTTCATCACTGTACCTTTAATTTCCGATATGAGAATTGGGAAAAAGAAAGATGAACTCCTCACGGGGATCTGCATATAAATTTAAGAAATCCGTACTGCGAGAACTTAGAGATAGTACTCGATGTAAATTTTTAATTATTTTCACAGCTCCGTAGGTTGAAACGTTTATCGATCACTCTATTGATTTTGTTCATTTTAACGTTTAATGTGTATATTCATTAAATGGCCTCATGATGTGAAAGAATAATACCATCTCGATCATCAATGAGGAAAAAAGGGGGAACTGTAATGATCAAAGAGACGTTTAATTTGATTGAAGACTTTTGTTTTTATTAAACAAAGAATAGTCAAAAAACGCATTTAATTAAAAAAGAAAATTTCAGCAAAACAAAATCGTGGGTTCATCAATTGGGCGTCTCTTTGATTGTTTTGCAAAAATCGTGACGAAATATTTCGTGATCGAATGAAAATTTCCCAACAACCTTATTTACGTATCCCATTATATATACTTTCACTAAAAACTTACAATAGGCGAGTAAAACAAAAAAAAAAAATAAAATCCTGAAATTTCAGCAGTGGCGCAGGTATCGAAGCGCGAGCCCAACTACTACGGCAAGTACATCGCCCGATTCCCGGAGGGCAACCACGGTATAACCGGCACCGTGTACGCGGTCGACGAGTCGACCTTCTTCATCAAGAACTTCACCTTCGACGGCCAAGCACCGGCCGCTTACTTCTGGGTCGGCAACGAGGACGTGGTCGGGCCATCGGGCACCCCCCTGCCCTACCCCGAGAGCAAGTCCAGGTAATCCCCGCCTATTGAATTTTTTTTTTGGGGGGAGAAAAAAAAACCAGAGAAAAGATCCCCCCGCCCTTCACCCCGTCATCCAACCCTACACACAAAGATTCACCATCGCGCGTAGGGCATTCATCCACCCGTGCGCTCGTTAATTAATCCTCCTTCCCCCCCCCCCGCCCCCTCGACGCGTATCGCATTCACTCGCAAACGAGATCGAAGTTTGAAAGACTCCTCGCGACAAAGACCCCTTAATCCCGTACACCCCCTCCTCCCAGTATACGATATGCGGGTAGCGAAATCGGAAAACGCCGCGAAAGGAGACCAGAGTTCATAATTCTCGTTTTATTAACCGTATGTTACCCACGTGTGTACGTATATATATATATTATACACTCCCGGCAGTCCCTTTGAATTCAGCTACCGCGTTGTACCGTATAGTCACGCTCTGCCGCCACTACACGCTTTCCACTCTCGGTATGTGTATTATTTATCACCACCCCCTTGCTCCCCTCTCGTTTTTCTGTGCATAATATATATACATGCACATATAGGCATTGGTCGATTCGCGGCATCAATTTTTTTTTTGTTCGACCCATCGAATAAAAAGTGACTAAAATCCCTCTGTTACAGGAATCCCCAGCCGCTGGGACGGTACGTTAACGCGGACGTGATACTACGGCTGCCGAGCAACATGAAGATCCGCGACATCAAGTGGCTGAGCGTCTGGTGTCACAGGTTCACCGTGAGTTTTTCCCATGATACAATGCAAACGATGCGAGGGAGGAAAAAACAGTCTCCTTGAAACCATGCACTACGATTAGGAAACAAAAGAGCCAAATTGCGAAAGAAAAAAAAAAAAAAAGTGGGTCTTCCTCTGGGTGAAAATAATAGCTCCGATCGAGCTTGGTGTTATACAGCTCCGAAAAAAAAAAAAAAAAAAAAAAAGGGTGACAACTCGAGCGATAATATATTATATAATATCCGTGGGTAGAGGCATATCCAGATAACTTGATTTTAGAGAAGATCCGCCCTCTACATCAGACCGAGGACTATAGCGGGGACTCCACGGCATTCGTGGTCAATGGCGCGTGTCGGATGGATACGGAAGCACGGGGGCGCCTATACCTATATTGCCGTATACAGCGTCTCTCTCGCGCTATATATGTATAATTTATATAATTCCGGGGGGAGGGGGTACCCGCCAGAGATTGTACTTTTTTCGGCTGCGCGATCACATTTGCTACTTGGAGCTTTCGGGGTCTAAGATATATCCTACACGTGGTACTTTTTTCTTTTTTGTTTTTTCCCTTGCCCGTCTCATGGATAATTAGAATATCACGTTTTAGCGTACAACTGTATATACTATTTCAAGCCCAAACAAGTGTACTCGCAAGTTTGAACATCATCACGCACACCCCATCTCCCTCGGAGAAAGCGAAATGAAAGTAAAAAAAAAAAACTCACCACGTATGGGTATAAAATGTATACATGTACAAAACATGTATGGAGTCGTCCACGTTGGCGCTAAAAGCATCTCACGCGCTCTGGCGCTTGAAAAGGTCCAAAGAGTCCGGCGTAACGTTGGAGGGGGGGACCCGTCATCTCTGTATCAGAAGGGCTCTTTAATATCGCCGGGGTGGCTCCCGTTGCGCGACAAGCCCCTCCATCGGACACGCTCCGTCACCGCAAAACGCACCCTTGTCCGTCTCTCTTTTAACCCCCTCTGATGTGCGCGCGTATACGTATATATACGCTGCTTCTTGGGATCTCGCGTCTTTCTTCCCGACACGGCATCCTTTCGCCCCCCCCCCCCCCCCCGATTCTCCAATCGACGATGGATCATACCGACCGAAGAGCGCCGATCGGCTTTTCGTCTTCATCCAGCCCATGCTCGGTACATATCTCTCAAACTCAATGTCCGACAAGTTTTTACGGAGTGCGTCTGTGTCATTCCTGACGCTGTATACGACCAAGGCCCATCGCGTCAACGAGTACACGTATAGGTGTGTTTTTTCCAGAAGAAGAGGCGCGCCGATCGGCCGGTGTGAATAGAAACGAGGCGCCTGTGTATATACGGTTCATATAAATGCATCCGAGTACGGGTCAGGGGGGATGCCCCTCGCTGTGCGATTTCAAAGCGAGGCGTTGAAGAAATCTGCCGACTAGGTATGCTTATACATCCGCGTGGAGCACATACGTAGCGATATATAAGGTCGCTGTCAGTCGGTCGGAGGAGCTGAGCTTACAATGCCAAACCACGCCCGTCCCTCCGATAACGTATATTATCTCTTTCTGTTTCGTTTTCGCACTGGCTGTTGGTATATACATATGTATACACCCTATTGTCGGAGCGGATCAGTCCCTCGAGGGATATACGCCACGAGGACTTTGAAGCTCCTGCGTCCTTATACCGAGCAATAGTCTCAATTACGGGGCTAGAGGGGGGGGGGGAGTTTTCTCGAAGGACAAAATTCATCTTTCAATCACGAGGTGCGTTTACATTATTCGTGATGGTAGAATATCATCTGTTTGTCAAACGTGTACGCAGATGTATATTTATGTTCCATATGGGTATGCAGAGAGCGTTTGAAGGTCAGCTGAGTCATCGAGTCTTGGGGCCTACTGGCTCCGAGCTTGAGGACGAGTCGGGAGTTGTAGGCTCCGTGGACGCCCTGGGTAATAGGGAGGGGGTCATCGGGTTATGCACTGGTAAAAAGTGAGATTTAAAAGTGGCTGTAAGGGTAAGCTGCGAGTTTGGTTGGGTGATAGAAGATGATTTGGGTTTGGGATGAACATACCCCGGGACCAAAGTAAAAGAGGGTGTCAGTAAAAATCATCTACTGATGAAAGTTTTCCTGGATGGGAGGGAGGGCCAGTTTCGGAGACCAAGTACTAGTGATTCAGAAGGGGTGGTCTGCACTTGTAAGTTGGAACGGAGGTTATATAGGGGGTTTGGTTGGGTAGTAGAAGATGGGGTCATGGGGGTTACTGGTTTTCAGAATAATCATCTTCCACAAAGAAGTGGCTCCAACAGTACATTAAAGTGATTATCGGGTTGAAAAGATTCGTCCCCTCTACTCTCTCAAGGGATGTGTACACGTGTATAATCTACCTTCTCATTGTTTGGCTGCTCGCCCTCCTTCCTCAGCAATGCCCCGTTCGAGAAGACGCGAGAACCACCTCCAAAGATATTCCTATCTTGGAAGAGATATCAAACCACGGCTCAATGGACTGCTCCCCCATGTATACACCCTGTATAAGAATGCGCGGATGAATCGATCCCTCCTCCCCCGATAGGATTTGGCATTTTTTTTTTTCCTTTTCTCCTTTTCTTCCCCCCGTCGAAGAGGAAGCCTTGATTTTTATCCGCGCGATTCTTCGATGGTTGTATGGAAGGGGATCGCGATGATGATGGCGATGATATCTTTCAATTGCAAATGGAACGGGATTCTGATCGGTTTACTCGCGATTTGCTCTCCGCCCTGCTCGGTTGCTTTTGGGTTTTTTACCCCATCTTTTCCTTTCTCTCCTTGGATCCTTTTTTCTCTCTTTTTGGCACTCTTTTTTTGTTCCTTTTCGAGGATCGGGAGAGCTTGGCGTTTAGACGCTCGTATATACCCACATTGTTTGTAGTCGCTGACGTGAGGGTTTTGGTCCGGGAGGGTTTGGGTTTATGGCTGCACCAAGGTTTTTTTTTTAATATATTTTGGTGCGCTGAATCCGGTTATCAAAGGTGCTTGGCTGTAAAGTTGACCGATGAATTTTTATATGAATATTTATTCCAAACAAATAAGAAACTTTTATTTTGTTGTCTTAAAATCTCGACTTGGTGCAAATACGCTCAAATATGGAGAAAAAAAAACGTCTAGAAAATCGCCCGATGGTGCTAATAATAGTCCACTTCCGCGTGCCGAATAATTGATAAAGAATACAGTCTTCACTGGCCGATCGACGATCATAAGGATTACATGTGATAAAATCAAATGCTTCTCTCCTTAAAAAAAAAAATACACCATCTGAATAGCAAATAAGAATCTAATCGTTAGGTGGACTATACTTCTAACTAAATCGTAAAAAAAAAAAAAAAAAAAAAAAAAAAAAAAAAAAAAAAAAAAAAATGATGTTGGAATATCTTTTTTCCACTCGATAGCTGATTTCAACTCATGGGTCCAACAAATACCGTAAAATATTATCTATGGACGAATACGTGACTTTTGACTTTTTCACGCACGTTATCGCGTGCACATAATATAATCGTCGATCGGCCAGCGATGACTGTCTTCTTAATCCATTGTTAGGCGCGCGGAAGTGTACCACCATCGAGCGACTCTATACACACATTTTTTTTCCTTTTTTTTGTTCGATACTTGAGCCGTGCATTTATATACCTGTTCGTGTACGTGGTGTACGCAAGGAAGTAAATATAAAAACCACCCAAGTACATGTACAGAGTGTATTTGCACTAGAAGGGTCAGGGCTCGCTTGTGGTTTTTTTCAACCTTAGTCGCTTCGAAGAGGGAGTATCGTCCCATTGTCGACAAAAATGGGCTCCTATTCTCCGTATCTTGTGTATACGTGTATTTTATTCCTGTACAACGGTGAATTAGCATCTGAATCCCCGTGGCCGTCTTCGGGGGCTAAGGAGGCCAAGATAATTAAACAGCCGCGCGGCGTTCAGGTGAGCGCGTGTGCATGCGACTGGCGTCGAGTGGACGACACCTCGTTGTACATCCTTGCTCATCCTCCCCCTTTTACCTCCACCCAATCACGACATCTGCAGCCTGAGAGCTGGAGGTAATAAAGCCTCGCAGCTTCTGCTCTGGTTTGCGTGCAATAATTATAATATACATAAACTAGCGAACAACGTGCAGAGATGTATGAGGTGCCAGAACCCGAGGTGCATGGCTTTTTCGAGGCGTGTAAAATACAATTTTCGCAAGCGAACGGCTTTCGATCCCGTGACACTTTTGTCGGGGTGATGTCGGTTGCTTTTTGAAATTGATTTTGCTTCTACTTCTTGAATCTATCTTATTTTTTTGCTTTCCGTAACCCCATCCCTCGTCGTCACAAAGCAATATACTTTTGGAAAACTGTACGATTCTTTTTAACACGTGTGTGTACTGGTAACATTGTTTGGAAGGCTAATAAAATTTTACGACTATGGTTTTTCGTTTATTTTTTTTTTTTTTTTTTTTTTGGTTGACAACCGTNCACGACGCAATAAAGATCGAAACTTGCCCATCCACGAGGATCGATCGAGCGAAAAAAAAAATCTTAATTTTCATTTAAGCGGGTTTATAATGAATTTCGTATTTTATTTTCGTTTTTATTTTCATTGAAAAGGGGAACTAAAAAAAAAAAAAAAAAAATAGTAAAAGCCTTTTTTTCAGTGTGGTTAAAACTATGGCAATATAGATATATAACAAATTCTACTTTTTGTAGGTACAGTCCTGATGTTGTCACAATGTAACATCACGAGTATAGACTACTAAATGTTATTGTCAATGCGGAATTTTTATATTAACCTTGAAATATTATAGTCATTGATATCCGATGATTAAACACTGCGCGTCAAATGATCAAAATAGTATAATCTCAAAAAACGAGCAAGTCAGATGATAAAAGCATATCACTGAGCGACCCAATTCTTTGAATCAAAGAAAATTTCTTTACCCTCATTCCGTTAAATATTTTCTTTTAATTGAAACAAATTTAGTCGATCTAAAAAAACATTTCGTACAA